TGTAAATATTTTTTATTTAATTTACAAATCCTACTGATACGATGGGACACCCAATATTATAATGTATTTATCACTAAATACCTGTCCCTAAGATTTAAGTCTAACTCGTAAGCCTATCGAGTATTTTACTGGTGTTGAGGTGGGAATGTTATTCTTGGGAACCCTTTTCCAGTGAAACATACCTTTCCCTCCCCTCCCAGTCCAGTATATTTCATACCAACTACTCGTTCATAAAAAGTTTATGAGAAAAATAGATTTTATTTTCAACCATACATTTGTAATCAATATTGTTATTTATAAAGAATATATTAATTATAAAAATTATTTATTATAATTATTTTGATTTATTTTTAAAAATGTGTGAAAAAAATATATAAAATAAAATTATTATGTTCTATAATTCAATTATTAACGTTTTAATTTTTACTGCACATAATATTAATTAATAATTATAATATAAAACATAGTATGAATATAATCAAAAATATTAAATATAAGTTGATTTATTAAATACTGTAACTTAATATGAAATGAAAGCAAATGTTTAATTAAAATGATAGGAATTTGCAATTAAAAAAGTGATACTGGAGTTGTGGACATGGATGGCAGTTATGTGGTCAGACCACTAGAGGGAAATACATGTATCACCGGTACATTATTGGCACCGGTAGAGCATCTATTATGTTGTGTACCAGTAATTAAAAGTAAATTATATTCAATAAATAAATATGTGTAATAAATATAATTACTGTATACTTATTATTAAATTCATTATAAAATTCATTTATTAACACAAAATCTTACAAATAATTCACAATAATTTTAATGAAAGTAAATAATTTAGATTAATATAAAATCACAAAAATAATAAACTAATATTAAAATACTTGTAAATAAATTTTGAAATAGATATACATCATAAAAGACAAAACAATTTTAATTTTGAATTTAGGTTTAATAAATAAATTTACATAAACTGTAAGCGATTTGTTGCTCAAACATTAGCCATAAATAAGTGGACGTGTATTAGAAATACTTATTTAATGTCGCAAAATATTTCAATGCTATATAAATGATGGACTTGGGCTGAGGTGCTGGCTCACTGATGTCCGTGTGGGTGGTGTTTGTGGACACATGAATTTCAGCGCCGACCGTTTTGGACAGGCGTGCACTCGTCTGACCCAATATTTGGACAAATTCACGCAATTCTGTGCACTCATTGTGGGCCAACTCTATGAGTTAACTATACGATCGCAATGTTCTATACAGTGAGACAACAATTCATTCATTATTTAATAGATATATAATATTATAAGATAGATATAAAAATACATTGCTTATAAATTATTTCAATAGTTTGTTATATTTGCCAATACTATAGTAGTATATTAGTGTACAGTATAATGTTTTATATGCTAGTATGTAGGGCCAGGGAAAGGGTACAAATAATGGGCATACTGGAAAGTGCACAAGGACAGTATAGCATATGCACCAGTTCCAACATATGAGCCAGTCAAAGCCAGACAGTGTCAAGTCCAAATGCTAATACATTACAATGAACTATAGGTATTAATGGATAATATAAAATCTATCATAAATGTTTAGTTACAGTTCATTGCTGTGTATTAGTATTGGACTTGACACTGTCTGGTTTTAACTGGCTCATATACATGAATTTAAGAATACCTAAGAATACGTGGCATGGTGTTTTTATTATTCCTCCTTGCTGCTCTTACTATCTTGGCAATGGCGGCGTCCTTGATCAAATGACTTATAGGCAGTCGCGAGTTATAGCCCTTCGCCACACTCACCGCCGTAGTAGTGTTTATTGTACAAAAGTGTCCAAGGGCAACTGAGGGCGTCCAAAGCATTGTATTAGTGTACATTGACTTGAACCCGGATTTGAGCTCAACAAACCAATCTCGTGTCAGGTGCCATAGGTCACTATGTCTATAATATATAGAATATTTTATATGCAATTTATTGTATTCATGGTGCTGGATAACAATTAGTTTAACGCCATACTAGTTCATTATATTGAACTCAATAACTGCTCAAACATTAAACATAAACACCATTTAAGGTATAAAACTGTCCAGTACAGAAATATTGAAAAATGTACATTGTTCACTTACTCTCGTGAGGCACTACCGTTGATGTACTGATAAAAGCTGGCAATGGTTTCCGGTGTGTCCGGTAATGTCTTTCCGGTTCCGAGAAACTCGATCTTATTATACAACTCATCGATGGCCGTGTCGTTAAATACTACCTGTCCTCTGCCTAATTGTGCAGTTTATATGATATAATTAGTAGAGATTATTATTAATGCATATAAATGTGATCAGGTTTACCTGAAATGCTTTTATTTACATTCAATTCATAATGTTTTATTTAGTTTTTATTTTTAGTTTGAATAATTGTATATTTAGAGACATTAATTATATTAATGTAATTAATTAGAAATATAATTAAATAAGCCTAATGTACACTAAATGTGCATTAAAAAAGACAATGCTTAAATAATAAATAAATAAATATTTTTAATAATTAGAATATGATGAACTAATAAATAGTTTTGTGGTTAAGCCCTTAATTGTGTTCATGCGGGTAGGTAGATTTTGTTCATTTGTATTATTATCTATGCTGGTATCTATTATATCTCAAATAGCAGCACATTTCAAATAAAATATTATCAACTTGAGTTCATTATAAAATTCATTTAATCACTTTAAAACAATTTGAACCGACACAACAATTGCATTCAATTAAAGTTAAAACTATTCAAATGTGATGAACAAAAGTGTCAGAAAGGTATCGTCGAAAAATCAAATCTCACTGTACATCAGAAAGTAGTGCATAGAAAGTGTATCTAAAACTTAACTTTTTTTTATCATAAGATATGAATAAATTATTCAAAATATTTTGCATGATTCAAAACATGAATAATTTAATAATTTATGAACATACAAGTTGTATAACTATAAAATTTTAAGTCATAATAAATTTATTTTGTCATTTAATATATAATTAGTTTGTTTACCTATAAGTTTAGATTAATTATTTCTAGTAATAAATAAGCAACATACATTTATGGATATAATTATTATACTTTTTAATGTTTTAGTAATTAAATAAATACAGCATATAAAATTAAGTATACATTTTTCAATAATAAATTCTTAGTAGTTATAAGATTATAAATAATTTATGATTGAATTACAATTGATATGTTTGTTAATAATCTATCGACATTTGGTATTAAATTTGTAAAATATTAACATGATAAATACAATATTTTAAAAATGTAAATAACATACGAATGTATTAAAATAGTTTAAATATTATAATTAAATGTAAAAATATAATTATTGAGTATATTTCTTATGAATGAACTTGTTGATTAGTTTCGCATTAATTAATATAAACATAATAAATACTTATACATATAAAAGCTTTATTCAAAAACATAACACTTTATAACTCTTAAATATTAAGGTTTAAATAATAATAGAAATAACTAAAATTAAAATAAATTAAGCATCTAGCTCACTAGTCAGATAAACTAATTCAGTAAGTTCTTTTTACAAACACATTAGAAACAACAAAATACTTGTCCGCCACCTACCGGCGCTCTATCGCCCTCTCCCTTCTCAACTGATTCTTATGCAACTCCGCAAACTTCGTGACCATAATAGGTATGGGAAGGGCTATCACCACAACCCCGCACATCGAGCACACAATAGCCACGGCTTTGCCAAACTCCGTAACGGGAACTACATCTCCATAGCCCACAGTAGTCATCGTAATACAGGCCCACCAGAAGGTGGTGGGAATGGATGTAAACCTGGTGTTCGGCACATCCTTCTCGGCATAATAGGCGAGCGTCGAGAATATAAGGATAGCGATGGCCAATGACAGCGCCAGTAGGCCTAACTCGCGGCCACTGTGCGTTAGGGTGAGCCCGAGCACCCGTAGCCCTTGCGAGTGTCGGGCCAACTTCGACGGCACCCGTAGTATACGTACGCAGCGTATGATTAGCAGTATTTTCGCGATACTCGTCCACTGAGTGTCGCCGGCGCTCGCAAACAGTACCGCTAAATAGGCCACAATTGCCGCCAAATCGATACCATTGAGCGCCCCCTTCAGGAACCGGTACTTATGTGGTGCGGCTATTAGTCTCAGGCCGTACTCCAGCGTAAACCACGCGACACACACCCCCTCCAGTATAACCAGTTTCATGTTATTCACCGTATGGTTGGCGAAGGTGTCGACATCCCGGAGCCCATCCACTGTCATGAGTGTCACCGCCATAATTGACATTAAAGTGAATAGTATCGATAGCACTGTGAATACCCGGGCGGCCAGGGAGCTGTTTGGTATCTCCAATATCTTATGTAGCTTTTTCTGGTATACTAGCAATCTGTTACCAGCGCCGGTATGTTTATCCATGTCCTTCTCATCGCTGCGTATATCCTCCAGTAGTTTCTCGTCCCTACCCTTTCGCTCGTAGTACCTGTGCTGACAGCACACGGCGATCATGGCCTCATTGACGCCCCAGTAGTTCAACTCATTGCGAAAGGCGAGCGCACAGACACCGTCCGGCATGTGTAGGCTGTCGGTGCGATAGAGGGCTAGTATGGGCTCGAAAGTGCTGTTATTCCTATCGAAATAGTACTCATTATCCGTGGGGTTGTAGTCATCGCACAGTTCGCTGACAACCCCTTTGGACGCCCGGAGCCGACCTAATCGGGTGTGCCGTAAGCGCTCCAGACTGCGCCACATCACCACATGCCTGACCCCTCCGACATTTAGTATGGCTTTAGACGTATCGTGGCATCTGTTGTGCGCGAGTGAGCTGATGGGTATGTAATCCCGGGGCTGCCAACTCGGCTGAAGTAGCTGTGTTTGCGAGTCCGGGTCCGGTGATGGCGATGCCATTGGCGCCGTGAACTCCAGTTCCGGTATTGGATGTCTATTTAGAAAATTAATTATTGATTTAAAAAATTATTTTAATAAAATAAACTTTAAAATAGTTTGCATGTAAAATATAGTAATATATTAAAGGATTGAAAGGAATCCAAAAAAAATTACTAAATTATATCTAGATTAAAATCTTTATAATTTTTTTCATATGTCCTAAGTATAATTATACTATTTTACAGTATTATAATACCGTATTATATATAAATAATTGTTAGTTAAAAAATGTAATTAATCTAGAAAGTAGAATAATTAAAAATTTCCATTTTAAAGCTTATCCATAAAAAACTTAATTTATTTATAAAAGATTATATTATATGTTATATTTCTAAAAATATTTTTCTAACCCTTTATATTAGTATCCGATGCTAATGTAAATTCAATTATTAAAATATGTCCCAAACTGTTATAAATAATATTAATATAATTATTTTAATAATCCAATACTATATCCATACGAGTTAACAATATTTAGATTTTTAATTTAAATTATATTAACATTTAATTATAATAAATAGTAAATTAGTATAGTACTTAAATTATAATTTAATATATTTTAACATATTAAAAATTTTATACTTAATATTTTGCGCAAAGAATAAATTCACAATAATCATAAAGATTATTTTTAGTAATTTATTATTGTGTTTTACTACATAAATATTGATCTTGGTAACCACTATTTGCTTAACACTTCGTATCAGTTTATTGATATTACACTTAAAATAAATATCTCAATATTTTTCACTTTCAAAAAGTTTAATCTATATTAAATTGATTTTGCTTTTTATTATTATTATAACAAGGTCTTAAGCAAAAATGAAAGTAGACATCATAAGTACTTGTATTTTGACACCAGTGTATAATATAATACTTAAGCATTTTTAGTCTGAACAAACTATTCATATTAATCCCATGGAGTTCGTAAGTCTAGAATGGTATGTCAAATGCACATGCTTGTCACCATAACACATTATTATGTAAAGATTTTGTTTCAACAACTAACATGTTACTACTGTAGTCAATTAAATATTATAGTACGAATCGCATGTATATATATACAATCATGTTTCAACAATATATAAAAAAACTTAGTATCTAATGTAAAAATAATGTACAATACAGTACAGTAAACAGCATGTTGACTGGCATTATATTTCCACACATAAGCACTTGTATAGCTTTATATTGACAGTTATCACCAAATAAAAAGATTATTTTAAAATCACAAAAAATTATATTCACTGAGACTCAGTGTGACCAGATTGAAAATCTAAAATACTTGTATTTTTTAAATAAACTATCCAAAAAAATAGTTGACAAATTGTAAATACAATTAAACTATGCTTTTATAACAGATCTAACACTATTTAATATATCAATAACTTAAAATAATGCTCAATTAAGAAACTAAACTTTAAAAATCTAAAAATTTAACTAATTGGGAAAATATTCTTTTTAAAACTGTTTTAGTTTTCTATAATTGAATGTAATTTTCCCAATTTCAAGTATTAATTTGGGCAATAGAGGCTATTTAACTTTACTCGTTATTATTAAAAATTAATATCTGATTAATATTAAAAATCAGCAAAACTGAAAAATTTTAAAAAACATAACATCCAATGTTTTTCAGGTTACTTATCATAATAATTAATATTTAATATAAGATTATTACAATAACAATCATATTATTTTGCTATTTGGTCGCGATTTCATATAATTTCATAAATAATTTACGTAAAATAAAATACTTGTCCATGACTTTAATGTCAAGTCAAATACTTGGAATCTGGTCACTCTGCTGAGCCTGGTGACCCGATCACGAGATCCAGGCGCATAACATTATGGTGTTTAGTCTGGAAAAATTATCATTCCTTGAAAAATCTAATGTCTCAATATAAGAGACTGTATTAAGACTGCATTTTACTAGAAATACGATATTATAGATATATGATATATTATATGGCACTTCGACGGCTTTACACTCGCGTTAACCAATAGTAATTCACTATTATTATTATGTTTTATATTAATAAACAAGTAAATCTTTATTGATTAAGATTTGAGTGTATGTACCTTAATATTTTAATAATACTAATTGATAGATTAATTTATATAATGCTAAATATTAAGATGCAAATTAACAAACATGTGATATTTATTTTGATATTTATAATAAATTAAATTTTCACAAAAGGCTCTAAAAATGTTTATACACAGTATAGTAAGTTTTCTTATGTTATATTTTATAAATAAATTTAATTATACTAATTGATGGATCAATTTATATAATACTAAATATTAAGTTGCAAATTGGCATTAATGTGATATATATTATAGCTTAAAATGAAATTTATAATAACTTAAATTTTTTAAAAAGGCTATAAAAATATATTATATATTATATACTAGTACAGTATTGTAAGTTTTCTTATATTATAAAGTCTGTCCCATGGTATCGGAACTACTTAAAATTAAAATTAAAAATATTTACAATTATATTTTACTAACAATGACTATACAAAATGTTATTTTATTAAGATTTTTGTGCGTTTCATAAAGCATTTATTCAATGCCTACCCTGGTCATGATTTTAGTTTGACTGCATGTATGTCTGTTTTTTATGCATAAATAATCGTGAATTTCTTAGAGCGTTATGAATACAAAGCATTGATGCGAGCATACAGTGACAGTTGTACAGTAGTATTACGTAAGACAGACATGCATGCAGTAAAACTAAAATTATAACCAGGGTAGGCATTTTTGAATATTTTATGAATCTCACATAGAATATTAGTAGATTTCCAATATTTTGTTATAGTTTTTGTTAGTAAAACATAATTCTAAATATTTTTAATTTCAATTTAAAGTAGTTCAGATACGATGAGAAATAAATTTAATTATACTAATGTACTGTAATTGATGGATTCATTTATTAATATTAAATATTAAGATGAAAATTAATATATTTGTAATTAATGTATTTATAATTACATATTTATAAGAAATGAAATTTTTAATAAATTAAATTTTTACAAAAGGCTCTAAATATATATATATATATGAATTAATCAATTTAATAATGAGCTTTCTATATATGCTTATACAGTAAGTGGTTATGAATTTTAGGAAATGCATTAATCAAATGAGTTTATAATAGATGACATAGCCAGTTATATCTATATCTAGAAAGCTCATTATTAAATTGATTGATTCATATACAGTATAGTAAGTTTTCTTATATTATATTTTATAAATAAATTTAATAATAAGAATTTGTACGGCTTGTTGATCTATTAACTTACATTTCATACATGTTATGTTGATATTATTTTCAATACAGTAAGACTAAAATTATGAATAAAATGACAATTTTTATTACTTATTTATATGTTTACATGATTTTGAACTTGTTTTCTATAATCACAGAAGACTTATAAGACTCATATAACTTATTATATTTATTTTTCCACTTTACATGTTATATTTATTTTACATTTTTATTAATAAGTGGCATAGAAAATCAATTTTGTCTTAATAAAAAATTGCATTTTAATGGATATGTATATAGTCTTAAAAACCCGTTGGCTTCCCATATAGATAAATAAAAGCATTTTTTAAAACTTATGATTTATATACCAATAACCGTAATTCAATAAAGGTTGCTAAATGCAAATTTCATTAAAACAAAAATATGTTATTTTAAAAATAATAAAAATTTATAGTGTATTATATTAGTAGATGTTAGACATTTAAGCTAGGTTTTAAGCATTATATCCAGTGTGACCAGATGTCAAGTATTTGACTTGACATTCAAGTATTTGGGGTGTTGGTCAAGTGTCAAGGCAAGGGGTAATACTTGACACTATAATGTCAAGTATTTTATTTTACATAAATTATTAATG